TAAAAGCTGAAGGTAGTCGTTGTCATGTAGTTAAACCATTAAAAGGGTTGTATTTTCAGACAACTCATGAAAGAACGTGTTATATATGAAATACTCCTATACCAAAAATCAATGAAGAAGAATCAGCGAAATTGGTTTCGACACCCATAATAGCTGCTATTTTACCTTCTCAAAGAGAAATGAGCCTGCACAAAATCATCTGTATTTATTTTAGAAAATGTGTTTGGTATTTCTTTAGATAAGATGGCTGATTATTTACATTTTTTTTGCTCATTCATTCCGTTATTTTATTTCTAATGTCAATAATACTGTTCATGATCGTTTTGTTGTACTTTTTCATTCAATGAACTTCTTAATGATTCGTCAATATGCTCGCATAAATGATTTTTTTTTCTCATAATTTATTATCGACATTTTGCTGTTCGAGATTATTTGTATTCGATATTTTTCTTTCGACATTTTCTTTTTCGTTCTTTTTCTCGTCGCTGTTTTTCTTTTCTATATTTTTCCTTCGACTTTTCATCATTCGACATTTTTCCTTTCTGCCTTTTTCCACCATACCAAACATAAAAATAGCGTTCTCTAGCTTAAAGTTGGCGTTACCACGCTGTTTTGTACATACTTTTTGTTTCATAGGCATTGCTAGCTGTTTGACATTAGGAATAAAGTCCCTTCAAAAGCACGATATTCCTCGATCATGATCAGAAAAAACAATGGACAAACCTATATCAAATTTTGAGAGTACGAAATACTTTCCAAGAGCAGATCACTACCGGCTATGATTTCTGGATATGTCATGTATCTTGCTGTGTATATGAGTCTTGGTTAAGAGAGAAATGGCACCCTCCAAAACCAACACACACAGCTCGTAATATACTGGAACCATAAAAAACTAAAACTGCATTTGCATCAAGTTATAAAAAAACAGGACTTGTAGAATTCAATAATAAGAATACTAATGAGACATAATCATGATGAGAGTCATTATAGATTTCATTGTTTTAATATGGAATAGATGGGGACAACAGTAGTGTCAGAACCACCGAGATATAGTACTCAGTGAATGCAATGTATAATACATACGATCAGCAAAAGTATGGTATAAGTTTCTCAGTGATCTAGTGACATCATAGAATGTTCCACTATTTTATATTCTGGCACATATATACAAAGGCATTTTCTGCTTCATCCTCTTGATGATAAAGAATGAATTTTGAATAAAATAGTCAGAATCATGTAAGTATATGACAAAATATCGATTCTTCTTATATAGTAATAGATACATCCTATTGTCTTCTGTCTTGCATATCTTGCACAGAAAGCACTAAGCTATTTCGTTTAGTTCTACGATAACAAAAATCATGATTTGTGTCAGATTTCCTCTGACTTGTGATCTAGACGTGTTGTAGAACAAATCGATTGAGAAATAAAGAAATTGTTATTTTTTTTTTCAGAAAAATAAATCGTTCCTTGATTCAGATAAAGAAAGCTCAACGTATACTTTCAGACACTGCGCTACTAAATCTTTGCCTAGTATCTGGCTAATTGTGTACCAGGGCGGCTCTGTGAAAAAAATTTATCAACTGGAAAAATTAATCAAATGAATACAATCAGATTTGTAAGGCAATGCTGAGAAATGCAATCTGATATCGTTTGAACGATTTGAAGTTCATGTCAATTGATGGACAGTACTCCATACAATCATAGTTAATTGAAATCTTTGAAGTATGAGTTCCATATTACTTCAAAGAACTGAAAGTTTTAAATGTGCGTGTAAATGTCGATGAATTTTGTGTAGCTGTGTTGTCTTCAGTAATATTCACTGGAAACCCACACTCTCCAATACCCAATATATAGTATTTAGATAATGTCGACGTAAAACTTATTTGCTGCAGCTGAACCGCTGCCACCTATTTTCAGCCAAAACGAAAGTGTGTATCTGTCGCTGATCACTGTCGCAAATGTTTGAGTGATAAACTCGATACCACCGCAGTTGTCCTTATAACGATTACCCGTAGAGTTAAGGCACTTGGAACCAAAATCCATCCAACCTGCCTTGTAGCCCCATGTTTGTGAACACAATACTACCCAATCTATTGGTATCGTCACTGAGCTTTCAAAACTGGGACTCCTCAACAACTCAATACTTGGTGAGCTTTGAGCAACAACAGATACTGAGTCCAGATAGTAAACACGATTATTACTATTACGAAATCCACACATGATTGTATGCGATATGTTGTTCACCGTGAAGTTAAATCGATATGAAGACCAAGTAGATGGATTATATCCAGTCAGAACCATCGCATTTCCTACTCCAATTTCTGTGCAATTCGATACTGTAATATACATATACTGAATAAGCGATAAGATCCACACTAATAATAACTTACTGGATTCCATTGTGGTTGTTGTGCTTGTTACTGTTGTTGTTGGCATTGTTGTTATTTCTGCTGTGGGTGCTGATATTGTTGTTGCTGATGTGCTGCTTGATGTAGTATTGGTTGTTGTAAGTGTCATGCCGGTATCTTTCGTGGTATATATCATTATGACAAAAAGCATTGAGATCAATATTTTTTAGCCTTTTAGCTTGTACTCATAAAAAATATGATTTTATAAGTTCTATAAAATTAAATTCTATTACAACGAGAAAAAGAACTATGTTTGTGATTTAGAGTACTGCACACAAAGTTAATAAAAGACAGAAGCGCATGATAGCCGTTTTTGGGTCAACTGTAATAGAGAGCTATGGCCTTATGTTTTTGTGAGCCCAGACCCAAAAAAAGCAATGTTATGGATAGAGTCTCAGACTAGACCCTATAAAAAATAAAACTCTGGATCTAGTTTATGCCCGAAGGTGACCGATCAATCCGTCGCACATGTATTGTAGAGAATACATTAATTGAATTAAGTGATTTAGTTTAGAATGTTATTTAATTAATCGCCTTAACAAAAACTTTTCTTTAGATTCTTAGAAATCATTTTTCAGAATACAATGGTTTTTTCAAAAATAAAATAGCGATATCAATTTAAAGCGTATTTTAAAATTTAATTAAAAAAATTGAAGTTTGATTTTAAATAAAATTCTATGTAGAAAAATTAAAAATATAATTCATTTTTTTCAATTAAAATTTAACTTTTTATTTTTCAGAAAAATCTGAAAATTAAAACAAAAATGTAAAATCGAAAAAAATTTTTACAAATCTAAATTAAAAAAAAAAAGTTTGTTATTTAATGAAAACATTAATTTTAATTGAAAAAAATGAACTTTATTTTTAATTTGTCTACATGGAATTTTATTTAAAATCAAACTTCAATTTTTTTAATTAAATTTTAAAATACGCTTTAAATTGATATCGCTATTTTATTTTTGAAAAAACCATTGTATTCTGAAAAATGATTCCTAAGAATCTAAAGAAAAATTTTTGTTAAGACGATTAATTAAATAACATTCTAAACTAAATCACTTAATTCAATTAATGTATTCTCTACAATACATGTGCGACGAATTGTACTAGTCCCCAGTAACACGATCAACTGTGTCAAAAATAATAATTCAGAAAGATTTTTTTTGCCTTTCTGTTGTTGTCAAATGACACTTCTATCTGAATTATAATTTATAATTGGAATAAAGGAATGTAGGTACGGGTGTTAGTCATCTCTGCATTCATAGACACACATTAACAGTTAAACCAAGCCACATCCTTTCGATAGACAGTTCTCAAAAATACTCGAAAAACGAGGTTGATGCTGAAAATGGATGTGTAAGTAAGTTTACAGTAAATTTGTGATCGAAATCATTTGGATAGATGACTACCTACCACTAAGCGTTTTAAAATGACTACAGCTCTCATTAGGTGGCTCTATTACTCTAAATTTAATATTCAGTGAAAAAAGTGATGGTAGTAATCTTCAAACATTTTTATATCAATGAACAAGCCATTTTCGATTTCAACCATTCTCAAGGGTTTCGTCAGACAGCTGTAGGGCTGTGTTGCACTGTTAAAATCAAATTGAGAGATAGCGAAACATCTAACATATCGAACTAACATGTTCAAAGCTGTTGCAGAGAGTTCTTCATATGACAGTTTACTTATTATGTCAAATAACAAACCACTACTGACACCTTCAGGCTTTGATCTTACTTTGATATGTCTATTGAAAGTTTGGTGGGGTTCACTTCGAAGTTTCTCGTCTAATTGTGGTGTGGAAGATCTCTTGGGTGTGGATGAAGTTTTGGGCTTGTATGCTGGTCAAGTAGATACTCACATACATACCCTTTCAATTCTGCTAATGTTGGAGCTCATTGTTTTGAATACTCTAGTTATACCAATGGAACATTCGATCATGCTACCTTCCAAACTGAAAGCAAGGATATAAAAAGCACAAATGAGAAAATATGAATTTGAAAATAATTTTTTTGGCAAGTTCAATTATCTCAATATTAATATTACACTGCCAAGCATTGAGTACATCATAGGGATCACAGATAATACCATACCTATTCACTTGAGTAAAATAGTATCTTTTCGATTGATTACATGTCAATAGATGATATATTTGCCATTTTGATTGATTTATCACACTCTAATAAGTAGCACATGAAGCAGCTGAGCATCAGTAAAAAAAGACTGCTACCCTGACTCACGTGACTCTTCGACTATGTAGTTTGGTTCAGTGTCACAGAACACATTGATATGCTGTCGAGAGAAGATCAATTCTGAGAATAGTCATACCTATTTCAAAGTTGGCATTCATTTTTTGTCGAGAAATATTATCACAAGTATGAGTGGTCCCATCACTTGTGTGGCATATCATAGCCATCGAATATTTTCATGTGAAAGAAATATACATGAGAACCAGCAGGTGTCCATCATTACTCTCTTCAAAAAGCAAGATTTGTTTTATTTTTTGTTAGAATAGAAATGAGTGTCCTACTGTTTATCATAGTTTTTCTTAGCAGCAATACTTATGCGATCATATACCGACCCGTAGTATTAATGCATGGTATTTTGGCAACAGCTGATGACATGAATGAGCTTGGTGGTTGGCTCACCGCATCATTTCCGGGTATCTACGTTGTTTCGATCGAAATTGGCAATGGATACGATGATTCTTTTTTATTACCCATGAATAAACAAGTAGAACTCTTTTGTGCCAATGTTCTCGCGGATAAACATCTACGTGATGGCTTCAACATGCTTGGCATTTCACAAGGTAGTTTGATTGTGAGAGGAGCCGTCGAACGATGTTCACTGCCTGTCTACAATTTGATTACCATGGTTGGTGCTCATCAAGGTATCTTTGGTGATCCTTCTCTTAAGTTACTTCCTCGTCAATTTTGGGAATTAGTTTCAAGGTATGCGTATGAAGAGTCTGTTCAAAATGTGATTAGTATTGCAGGCTTCTGGCGTGATCCTTTTCAATTGGAGAAATACATTAATCGAAGTCATTTTCTTCCGGACATTAATAATGAACGTGAAGTTCGCAATGAAACCTATCGTATGAATATGCTGAAGCTCAACGCATTTGTTATGACATATTCAGACATTGATGACGTTATAACGCCACCACAATCCGGTTGGTTTCTGGGCTATGCATCACAATCGTTGGAACCTGAAACATGGAATCAATCACGTCAATTCACAGAAGATCTCATTGGAATGCGAACATTGCATGAACAAGGCAAATTACATATGTTCATTGGCCATACTCGTCATCAAGATTCTGAGCATGCTCCTGATAAAGAATTCTTTTTTCAAAATATTCTGCAATTTTTCAATAATACGCTTCCATAGATGTTCCAGAGTAAGATAAAATAAACCTTAGATGTCATCAATATAATCTTCAGCTATTACTAAGAAGATCGAACTGTCGAATTTTTCCATCTTTTATAGATGGTACCAGAAAAGATAATGAATCATGCTCGCCAACTAAGCGACAACAGTCGATGTAGTTGGGACAGAAAGCCTGAAAACTTTATTTCCAAGATCATTTTCTTGAGATTGATTCTGAGAAAAGTTATTATTTACTTTCAAATGAAAAGTAATCTTTGAGTTTTTATGCCTCATAACTTAGTTTACGAGCAATATATAGAAATAGTTTTGAGAGAAAAAATATAATTGAAGTCAAGTTCTACAATTTGATGAAAAAATATCTGATCAAATGTGTAAAACTACCGTGAAAATTAGTCTGTTGTAAAAGAAAAAGTAAATAAACTAATAACATCTTTACCACTGAAGTGAATGTGCCACCCCTATCTGGAAATTAACAGTTTAAAGCTGCTCATTTAATACAAACTGGTACATAAGCATTTTGTATAATAAATAGTGCTATTTCCATTATCAATTAAAAAGTTTAACGGAGACCAAAGTTAATGAAAATGTTTACTAAATACTTTATTAAACTTTGAGACTGATTTTAATGATGAAAGTAAACATTTCTGTTCACTAGTCAATATTGTACATATATCTGATAAATATTCTATAGGAGTGTGGGTGAGCTGGTATGAATGTAAAGTGTGTTGATGGGTTTGATCAAAGAGTACCAAAAATGCAGAAAATTAGAATCATTTACTAAATCTAGAATAAATCCTAAGGATTATTTAAAAGTCAGAAAAATCAGAACCTGCTGCAAATCATAGTTTTAACAAAAAAAAGAAATGTCATTTTTGTTTGCCATTGCTATGTGATCAAAACTGGAGCTGTAAAAGTAATAGCAGTAAAATTCGATATATGAATATGACCACAATGGAATGTGAGTAATTGAAAGTGTAGCTAACGCATACTACTTTGCTGTATAATAGGGAAAACAATCTATAAATTATATTTTTTGGTCATGAGAGATATTAAATATAAATATTTTAAAATATTTCGGATACTTTTCATTCTTTTTTGTTCGTGCACTAAGATCATCCTGGTGTTCAAAACTGTATTCGATTAAGTACACAAGAGCATTTTCTTAATAGTTATGATGTTACTTTTGTATAAAACAAAAAGTTGCTTTTCATATATATGTATCAGAGACCGTCACAGGGCAGTTTTTTTATGTCCTGTCCTGCCCTACGCCCTGCCCTGCGCCCTGCCCTGCCCTGCCCTAATGATGATTCATAATATTTTTTTCTGTCCTGCCCCGCCCTGAGGGCAGGGCAGGGCGGCCCTGAACTTGGAAATCCAGCTTAAATGAGGAAATATCTAATAGCTTTAAAAAACCTCGTAATGGTAAAGTTTTAATCATTTGTTTAATTCGATCCGATTGAAAGTTATTTGTATCGATGAAGTTGAAGATGGAGTGAAAGTAGGGATCTCAATATGTGTCTACCTTTCATTTAGTTTATGCGTAAATTAAGTGGTAAGTAATTTATATTTATTGTAAATATAAATTATTTCGTTACAAAGTTTATATTACAAATCAATATGAATTCTAATAATTTACAACGATTTGTAAATATAAATTTTGCAACAAAATAATTTACATTTATAATAAATATAAATTTCTTACAATTCATATTTATTATAAGGTAAACGGTAAATGACGCCCCAAAGTAAAAGTGATTTATTATGATAATAATGATATTGTTTCCGAGTTCAGTGCTGAAAAATATTTATCAACATGTTGTTTAAAACATTTTTCACCACTCATCGTATTGTAAACTTGATTACTAGTACATTTGAAACCACTTTGAAATTCAGGAATTCTTTCTAACTGATGATTACTTAATTATACTGGATAACCAAATACTCTTCACCATCTAACAGCAGGTGAAGATCCGTTCTTTAGTATTTGATATTTCGATCTTTCAGTCAGTAATAGATATTTAATCGTTGCAGTATCGAATGAACTCATAATATATGACGGCAGATTAAAATATCGAAGATAGAAAACTCAATGAAATAATTGAAACTAGAAAATTTAACTAAAAAATTTGAAGAAACTGGAACATTGGCATGTTTTTAAACTTTTATATGAAGTATGCTGTAAAAAACTACGGTCATTTATGAAACTATTTGGAAGAGGAATATATGAATATACTTAACAAAAAAACTGGATTTTTCTCTTATATAATTCTGCATCATTGTGAAATGCTTTTTCTTTCCTCTTCAAATCATCTGTATGTTTCTATGCGAAATATAAATGGATTATATGGTGTCCAATATAATAATAAAAAATTGTTCCAACTAGGTACAATGGCAAAAGTTATGATAGTCAGTTTATAGCGATATCAATTACAATTGCTCATAATATCAACATATCAAAATTATTTACTAGAAAATCTGTTTCAAATAACTGTCTCGAGAAAAAAGAATAACAGGGCAAAAATATTTTGCCCTGCCCTGCCCTGGCACGCCCTGCAGGGCAGGGCGAAAAATAAAAAAACTTGCCCTGCCCTGTCTTTAGGGCAGGACAGGGCAGGGCAGGACACCAGGGCCGCCCTGCCCTGTGGCGGTCTCTGATATGTATACAAAAATTTTTATAACATAATTATGTTTCGTTTTTTGATATTTTTCAATTGTACTATTTCAAGCAGTGCTTTATTTTTCTTAACTGTAGATTCGTTTTTAGTCTATAAGCAGAGTTCAGAGTATAAGTGATATCAGCATAGAGATGAAAGAACAATTTATTGTACAAGTGAAAAGTGATAAAAGATATTGAATTTTCTAGAAAATGTCCGCTACCTCGCATATCAGAAGAAACAATATTTCACTCAAATTCATAAAAAGGAAATTCCCATCAATGTTGAGATTCAGTCGAGCCTGTGAAAAACTGAACCATATCCACGTGATGATTATACAACTGATTACATAAAAAATTAAACTTTTCTTTTTTGGCATCAATAGCATGAATGGATTTAATGAAAACAAACTCTTCGATCGTGTTTCATTCATTTTTGTCATCAGACATTGTATTGCTAATGGAAAGGTACTTTTGGCACTTTCTTTAATTGTTCGAAAATTACACTTTGAAAAAAACAAAGTGAATGTGTTTTTCATTTTCTTTTCTACCACTTTTAAAATGGTATTGCAATCATTAAAAGACAAACAAAAAAAACCGTTAATAATATTTTGTTGTTGTCCATATTATTTTTGGTGTCAATAGAAGAAAAAATTGAAAATTTCGTTTTTTTTTTGTATTCTTGATTCTTCTTTGCTTGACGAGAAAAAAAGTCGATATTCGCTCGATGTACTTGCCATTCAATGAAAGAATCGACTTCCAAGTAGAGTTTCTGTGGACTTAAAAAGTTGTTCATTGCAATCATGCACAGAAAAAAAACGTCTTTAGCTAAAACATACATCAAAGTTTGTATAAATTAAGTTTTTTTGCATCAGCAACCTTCAGTTTCATCGAAGAGATAACTAAGTTTTTCAAACACTTTGATGGGTGAAAATCTGAAATAAGTACATGACAGAAATATGTGGCCTTCCTTTGGCTTGATTTATTCAGTTAAACTGAATAACACTTCATTGACATTGTAACACTATAATTGAAAAAACATCACCGAAAAAAAATCTACTTACTCATTTATCACAGTTCGTTCAATTCGCTTGATATCAGCTACTTCTACAAGTGAAAAAGAGCTTTTTTTCCGAATGTAACTGGTTTTACAAGAATAATAAATTCCTTCTCACCTAGAATAGTTAGATAAGATCTTCTTTCTATTTCTTTTAAAGTAATTATTGTTTAAGAAGATATTCATGTTATTGGACAGCAAAATGAAATGAATAGAATCTCAAAAGAATCATTCATTGATTGAAAACCAAGATGATTCTGTAAGTACTTCGTTGATGTTTTTTTCGAGAAAAAGCAAAAGTGTGATTAGATCATTTTTTTTCAAAGTACATCTATTCTATTCCATCAAATTTAATGTTAGAGAACGACTCCAGGACAAAAAAATCAAACAAATGTTGTCATAGTGCTGTACTAATAAAGAAAAATATAAAAAGACCCCAAAGTTGCATTTCATACCATACAAACGAATCGAACAAACATCGAATAAAGGTGGTTGAAAGGTGAGTTCAAGTTTTTTTGTTGAAACTTTTCTGTTACATTAAGCAATTAGTTTATTTTTTTTGATGACTATGCAAAGTGTTAAATGCTTGTAGTTTTATAACAATATCATCGATAAAGTCACTGGAGCAGTGACATCGTATTGGAATACTCAATAGCCATCGTCGTTACTTACAGCTTGAAGGACATCCGACACCTTGTTGTACACGTGCAGGATGTAGCAAAAGTATAGACATCCCATGACCCTCGCAGATATATGCTGATAAAAATGCTTATTTTATTTTCATGACGACTCACATTGATCTGCTTATGGCATGTATAAACGAGAATATCAAAGTATTACTCGATGCCGTAGTATTGCAAGAAAAAGTTTGAGAAAAGTGAAAAGTCACTCTAATATAATTATAGAGTATTTTACAAGAAACGCATTTTATCAACTTTTACAAAATATTGAGCATTCGATTTTGATGTTTTTATGCGATAATAATTAATTTGTAGACTTTCCACTTTATATCATATGTAATCGTTGCTGTTTAAGTGCAAAGATTAATAATAAGAAATAAATTGTTGTTTTTTTGTCTCAAGAATTCTTAGAATATTACCTTATAAATTCCTAAAAATTGTCGATTATTAGTGACATTGTCCCTTCTAAACTACACCAAAGGGTATGTTTAGACATTGCAGATCAAAATAGCTTGCAATAGCTTAATGAAAACAAACCTGCAACAAAAGACCTAGCAAATATCCAATAATGAGTCTATGAGCTGATGGTATTCAGTTCTCTATAAGATTA